AGCCTGTGCAATCTACCCTGGCACAGAGTGTTTACATAGCAGGTAGAGAGGAGGGTGCGCAGAAACCAAATAGACGCCCCCGTCAGTTATACTGACCTCAATCCATGACCCGGCCTCTGGGAGGACAGGACAGATGCTAAGGGTAGAAGGGACCCCAGGCTCTGCCTGCATCTTTCCTTGCCTGGTCCTGCCCCTCAACACGGGTTCCCTGAGATGGGCCCGGCTAGGCCCCACAATTCTGCTTCCTTAAGAGCTCTCGGGGCTGGCCCCGGGTCCGAGTGGTTAAGTTCGTGCGCTCCGCTGCAGGCGGCCCAGTGTTTCGTTGGTTAGAATCCTGGGCGCAGACATGGCACTACTCGTCAAACCACGCTGAGGCAGCGTCCCACATGCCACAACTAGAAGGACCCACAACGAAGAATATACAACTATGTACCAGGGGGCTTTGGGGAGAAAAAGGAAAAAATAAAATCTTTAAAAAAAAAAAAAAGAGCTCTCACATCCATCTCTCCTCCCCTTTGCCCCTGACCCAGGCCTCCAGGGCCTACACCTCTGAACCCTGCCCACCTCTCTCATCCCATCCTCTGTTCCTCCTCACCAGGCTCCAGCCACATGGGCCTTTTGTTGATTCCTCGAGCTATCCAAACTCATTTCCACCTTTGGGCCTTTGTCCCGGCTGTTTCCTCTGCATGAAATACTCTTTTCCCGCCTCCACGTGGCTGTCCTCCTCACGATCCAGGTTTCAGCCTAAATAGCATCTCTTCCCAAAGACCTTTGGGGGCCACCCAGTCTCAAGGAGCTCCTTACTCATTTGCACACCACCCTGTTTTAACATATTACCCTGGAAAATAACACACCCTGTTATTTTCTTGTGTGTTTCTTGTCCGTCTCTCCCTGCCTTGGTTTACAGACATTTCGTGGTGCAGGCCTGGCTTCCTGGGGACTCCATCGTTCACCCTGGGAGCTACCGCAGGTGCCCCTGCTCTCTCTGAGTTCCCAGCCTCTGCATGTGTTGCCCTTTCTACCCAGAGGCCTGTTCTTCCCCTCACCTCCCTCTTTACCCCCTCTCCTGGCTATATCAGACGCAGAAATATTTCCTGACCTCCTCAATCTTGTTCATTCATCTTCCCCTGAGTCAGCCCACCAGAGTTCTCGGCACCTTGTAATTCAGGTGAAGGCCTCAGGCCGGGGAGGGTGGACATGAGTCTGCCTTGCTCACTGTTGTGCTGCAGGCCTAGCACAGGACCTGGCGCATACTAGGGTGACTGGGCAAATCAAAGTCTGCTGCACTGACAGCACTAGGAGAACTTAGCTACTGCTGCTGGCAGGCTGTCACACGGGGAGTTTCCTGGGAGACAGTTCCCATCCTGAGTTTGTCTGAACTAAACTGAGAGCTGGGGCCAGGGAGAGCATGAATGTTGCTGTCTGTAAGTGAGCTCCTCAGTCTCTAGTTGGGCTAGAAGAAGGAGTAAGAGTGTTACAGGGAGAGGGAACACACGGGCTGAAGGCCCAGAGGCAGTGAGTGGGGATCTGCAGGGGGAACTACAAGTCATTCTTCCTGAATTGTGCAGGACTTGGGGGGAGGCAAGAAGTGAGGCCAAACCACAAAGGTTTGTGTAACATCCTTTGTATAAACCTTGCTGAGGTGGTGAACTTAGTCCTAAAGGGGATGGGAAATGGCTGAAGAGTCTGGACTTGGGTGTAACAGGGTCAAATCTGCATCTAAACGGGAAAAGCACAGCAGCCACAGGATGCATCTTGGGATGGGGAGCTCCATCCTCGACTTGAATCCTTGAGTTCTCTCCCGAGTCACCCGATGCTGTACTTCCAGCTCTCGCTCTTAATAGAAGTCCTAAATGGATACGAAGTGCAAGGGATTCAGCAGAAATCTCCCTCCTTAACCCCCGTAGTGGGTTGAATGGTGGCCCCCCAAAAGATATCGACACCTCCAAATGCCTGGAACATGTAATGTGAGCTTATTTGAAAAAAGGGTCTTTGCAGATGTAAGAAGTTAAGGATCTTGAGATGAGCTCATCCTGGATTACCTAGACGGGCCCTAAATCCAATGATAAGTGTCATCAGAAGAGGAGAAGACGCAGACGGAAGAGGAGGAGGCCACGTGAGCCTCGAGGGAGCCTCCGGAGGGATGCTGCCACAGGCCTGGGAAACCAAGACATGCCAATAGAACAATTCTCCCCTGGGGCTTCCAGAGGAAAAGCCCTGCAGACACCTTGATCTTGGTCTTGCAGCTTCCAGAACTGTGTGAGAATAAATTCCTGTTGTTTTAAGCGACTCAGTTTGCAGTAATTTTTTACAGCAGCCCCAGGAAACAAACACAATTCTATACTCGAACTAAGAAGATTCAGCCTCCAGACCCTTCACCATCAGTGGACCCTTATAAACCAGAAAACTTCCCTTCTGTGGAAGGTGTGATTGCAACAGAGGCAAGGAGCCAGACCGGACTATCAGTGGATCCTTCTTCTCTGTACTGTTCGGCACTGAAAGGACAACTTTGCCCACACCAAGAAAGTGTACCACCAGAATGAAGCAATGGACAAACCAACACAGTGGGGTCTTGGCCAAGCTCCAAAGACTCTGAGAGTGAAGCTGGGATGCTGGCAGGGCTCTGTGGGGACTAATGGTTTGGAAAGAGGGGGAAGGACAGAGAGTTGCTCTATAGTGGTGGGCACAGAAATGTCAGGGATGATTGTTGTTCAGACAGGATTCCTAGCTTCAGGTTCCCGAAGAAGCCTGTGGTGCTCTGGAAATTCAGCCTGGTCTTTAGGGTGGGCTTCCCGGGGCTGATGTGCTATAAGACTTCTTTCATCAAGAGTTCCTTAAAGCACCCACTGTGTGCTAGCTTTGTTCTGCACTGTATACATCTAGGTACCTCCCAGGGCACAATCAATGTCTGCATTTCCAGACAGTGAGAAGCCAGCCCACCTCAGAACGCATTGGTATTCGACCTCCAGGTCTGCACTGTGTCTCTTCCCTGGGGAACCCTCGCCTACCCCTGTAGACGAGGCAGCTACCTCTACTGAAGTGCTGATCAACTTTGGAGTGAATAACCATCTGCGTGAATGTCCATGCAACGTCTTTCTCCCCAACACTCTGTAAGCAACCCAGGAACTAGCCTGGTCCCTGGCTTACTGTTGGTGTCCAATAACAAACCAAAGGACTAAGTAGGTCAATTCTCAGGCCCATCTGAATGTTCAGAAGGAGAAAAGTCTCATCTGGTAGCTTCAAATCCTCTGAGAGCACCTACAGCTAGACGCTCAGGCTTAATCTCAAAGAAGGAAATAGAATCAAAGAGAAGAGGCCCAGCTCAAAGATAAAGTCACATGTGGGACGCAGAGAAGGTGCCAACCTTAAACCCTTGTTGTCAGAAGCAAAATTTGACAACCCTCTCTCCACGAGGAAGGATCCTTGTGCCAACTGTTCTAAGTCTTGGCTAAGACAGCATCCCACAGCTCCTTCCTTAGAACCCCATCTCTCTCCCAGCTCTCCTCCTCCTAAACATTAATTTCTCTTTTACGAGCAGTTGTGGCACTGGCAGTGTGGTAGGAGCCACGGCTGTGGTTAAAATTATTCAGCCCGGTTGCTGTAACCTGCGGTGTGATGAGTGAGTTGCCCCCTTTTCCTGTACCTGGTTCCCTGCCCACCAAACACAGGCAGACCAGCTGTCCCTTGGTTATGCCAGGGGGCAGTGTGGACAACACACCCTTCTGAGATAGGCACCCTGGGAAGGCAAGACAAGGGGATGGTCATTAGTTCACTGTTACTAATTAAGGGTTAGGCTTTTGGAAAGACTGGGCAGATTTCAGACAATGCAGCCAAGGTCCTTGGCATTAATTCTCTTGGGGCATTTCTCTCAATGTAGCATCATTCGAAGGTCCCTTTGGATTGGGCGAGTGTGGAACAGAGGAGGTGAGGAAGGAAAGTATCAAGAAAGGAAAGCAGCCATTGAGTAGAGTATAGAAGGAGCCAGCCAGTTAAGAAGAGTCTTAGGTCCCCTCAGATTCCTTGTTCTGAGCCCTACCTCTTGCCTTTTCTCTGAAGCTCCATAATGTAGACCCTGTTTCATTATGCTTGCCTCTTTCTTTCTACAAAAACCTGCTCTAAGGGAACAGCCTTTTAGATTTGTTTATACTAACATGTAAACAACTGCTGGGGCTTTACGTTTGCTCATTTTTATAAGGGGAAAAGCTTCAGTCAAATAAATGAACACCTTCAAGTGAGTGAGAGAGGGAATGGGCCTTCCCGATGATTCATAAAGCACACTGTCCACTCCTTCCAGAAAACCAGTGGCTGTGGCAGGGGGGCCAGGCCATTTGTGTTTAGTTCAACTGACTGAGCAACTTCTGAACCCTCCATCCTCTCCCTAGAAGTAGGAAAGTGGCATGGCATGGTGGGGGGAGAGAAGGACAAGGGACACTAGACAGAGCAGAGGAGCACAAAGTAGGGAGGGATTACTGCCTCCAAAAGCACTTCTCAGGGAAAGCAGAACTGCCAGGGATGAGGGCAGAGCTCTCTTCTTCATAGCGTGACTTGTAATGTAATGAAGCATAAGGGGCTCTGGCTGTACAGCCCTTTGGGGTACCCTCAGCCTCCTCACTTGGCCCCTCATGTCCCATGAGACATCCCAGGTCATGGCGTGTTCAAGAGGAGCTCATCTCATGAGCAAATGCGGCTAACCTGTAGCCAACCTGGATACTGCCCAGGCCTCCCCATCTGCCTGGCAGCATGGGACCAAAGTAAGGGCTGGATCCATTCTGCTACCAGTGGAGCGTGGATGGCTGGGTGGAGAATTCAGGTTACCAGGTCAGACAAAACAGAAAAGGAGTGGCTGGGAGTGCCACCTGCCCTCCCAACGGGGTGGCCCCACCCAGCAGCCCTCTTGGTTCAGGACAGCGCTATGCCAGGCTGTGAAGGGCCTGGCCTCCAGCAGCCCCTAGGACAGGGGCTCCAAAATAGAAGAAACAGAGATGGGTCAGAGCCAGTCCTGACACACAAACACCAGTATATTTCATGTGCACGAATGTGAAAAGGAAGAGACAAAGAGACCGATGGAGACAAAGCAGGCAGTGGGTGCACAAACCAGCTGTGTGTTCTTCTGAAGAGCTGCCAGAGGTGGGAGACAGGCCCACCCACTTCAAAGGCCCTTTTACAAAGCCAGGACCTGCAGCTCCTCCAGATCTGGGGTGGCCTCAGGATGGAAGATACTCTGCCTGCCTTAGGCGGCCGGCCTCTCCTTTCTGCATCCCCTGCCATGACGTCTGCACAGCCCAGAGCTCCAGAAACACAGGTTCTCAGGAACTGACCCACTCAGCACTGCCTCCCCAGGAGACCCATGCAGAGAGGGAGGGACCAGACAAAAGGACTCCATGGGCACTCCCCAGGTATTATTGCTGTGAATAAGCGTAGGCCATCCTGACTCACTGGCATCAGAGGGGACAGGGCACACGTGACAGGACACCTAGCAGACGTCAGAAGCGGTTCGACCACGCAGGGCAGCACATGGCGATCTGTAATTCAGAGATGCTGCCATGTCCAGTGGAGAGAGGCCCAGGACACCAGCGGTTTAGAAACAGCAAGCAGACCCTCCCCGCCAGCACCCCCACTGCTTGGCAGGGCTGGGATTACTCCAAACTTTGGGTCCCTGGGCACTAAGGGATTGGGGCCCTGAAGATACCCAAAACAGCAAGAGTTGAAGTCTGGGCTACCCCTCGTGAGCTCTGAGCCTGCAGATCCTGTGGTCAAGCCCCAGGTCATCACCTCCCTTTCTTGGGGGCACTGTGCCCTACTAGGGATAATAGGAGCCACAGGGCACTTGGATGAAGCAGAAACACAATGTCCGCCCATTGTCAGGCAGGTAGATTTACTCTGAGACCTCCTGCACTTGGGAGTTTATAGGACCCAGAGAGAAGATGATGCCAGGAAAAGCCCTTGGGGCAACAACTGGAGTGGCCAGACCTGGTGGGCCATCCAAGGGCTTGCTCTGGATGAGAATTATGCAGGCCTTATGCTACGAGACATCAACAAGGGGACCACCAGATTCTATCGTGGAAGGGGAGAGCAAAGATGGGCAGTGTGGTCTAGGGGCCCACATGGGGACCCTGAAGGAGTGTTAGGGTCTGGGAGACTGAGATAAAATGAAATTAGGGGAGAGGACCAAGGAAACAATGACCTGGATGGAACAGAGAAGCCAGACAATATTCTCCCTCTGGAATCCCCTCCACCTGTAGTTGGAAAGCAGTCTACCCCTCCACTGGAAGCCTGAAGCCCTGGAAGCCCCAAAGCCTTGGAATTGGGGCCACAGTAAAATCAAAGGTAGGGCGGGCCCCTGCAGAAGGTAGTTCATCCTTGGATTTGAGGACCTTGGCCAGGATGCAGAGGCTGGAAAACACCCTTCTTCCTGTCCTGGATAGGGTCAACTGCACAAAGGCAGTCTCCCAGCATTTCTCCCAATCCAGGACATCACTTCTGCCCACCCCCAATCCCCCCCCCCCCCCCAAACACACACCCTTGGCTGGCGCTGTCTGCACCACCCAGGTGGAGCTGCAGCACAGCAAGAAGAGGAGATTCTCTCTACAGGTGTGGGATTATCACTTTTTAATGACCTATAGAAAGAGAGGCTAATTTCTACCTAAGAGTCCTAGTGTGGTCAAGAAAAGCCCATCTACCATGGGATAGGCTGCCATCCTGATGGACCTCTCCTCTCCGGGAGTGGGGGCTGGAGCTGGAAGTGGGCTGGAGTGAGAATTTCACCTGTCCACTGCCAGCAATGGACCTGTCATGGGGGAAGGCAGAGCAACCGAGATGACAATGACCATGAGCATGGCAGGGTTAATACTGTTTAAGGAGCAAGCTCAAAGGGTCAGCCTTGCTGGGAGGGGTGGGGGAAGGGGAAGCCCTGAGGAGGTTTGGCTGCAGGGCTGGGGCTATGGCAGAACCAGAACTGAGTTCTTCGCACTAAGGATGCTCCAAAGGCTCTCCCAAAGCTGAAAGGCCTCCTCTTTTTCCTCCTCCCTCATTCTCCATGGGTCTCCAACACTGGATACCTGCTCCTCCATCCCCTAGAAAGCTAGATTGTCCCTGACTGGCTTGAAAGTAAACCAGCCGGGTGTCTTGACCCCTCCCACCACCACTACCACCCGGAATTGATTTGTCTCTAAGTCCCCATTGCGGATCCGTGTGGTCCATCTCGCCTGACTGCGTGTTGGGGGTGTCATTCATTATCAGCTGAGCCACTGCCGGGAGGGAGCATGGAGAAGAGCACCAGGGCACTGCCACCACCCAGCAGACCAGGGGTGAGGAGGTGTTCCCAGTCACCAGGCCAGCAGAAATAGGGAGGGAGGGCTGCAGGAAGGTGGGGTCTGTCTCAGGGTTCTATATCCGGCAGCTGCTGTGTTGGCTAGGGAGCTGGGGTTGGGGGTGGGTGGGGTGATTGACATGGACAAAGGGGCCGCTAGTGGTAAAGCCTTGAAAATAAAAGAGAAAAGGGGGAAACGCCACCCAACACACAGGGATTAAAACCTCCAAAAGCCCAAGGTTGGTGGGAATCCAGCACCAGGGGGGCCCCCAAAAGGCCAAGGGAGCAGCATGGGGCCCTGGGGGAAGGGAGTGGAGCCAAGGGAAGGCCTCCCAGCCCTTGTAGACCAACACTACTGCCAAGCAGCCTCCTGGCTGCCCAGTCTCAGCTGCAGCTCAGCAGGCCCCTGGGGAGGTATTGGTTGCAAGCAAGCACCTGAATATTGCCTAATGGAACCAGCCAAAGCCCAACTAAACAAGGTGGGAGGGAGCGAGGTGGCCGCTGCAGCAGCCCAAAGCCCCCTCAAGCCTTGCCTCCCGTCTTCTGCCCATTCTCTGAGTCCCTTAGCCAGGACAGGGCCTGCTGCTTCCAAAGTCACCCATGTAGTCCAGTCGCTGCTTAGCCACAGGCCTCCCGCCGCCAGCGTCTGAGCTGTGCTGAGATCCTCAGACCTTTCCCAAAGTCCCTCGGCTGCCTCGACACCTCACCGCCAACACCCGACCACGCCCCCACACCTGGCCACGCCCCAATGCCCGCCCACAGTGGAGGGTGCGCGGGGATGAGAGCGCCCTACCGGGCCGAGGCCGGGCTGGGGCTGGGCTTGTGCTGTACAGAAAGGGCAACCCCACCAGCTTGGTATCTTTGTCCACACGGTCCATGAGAGACCCCCGGGCCCCACCCACTAGCCCCCCACTCAGTCAGTCTTAACGTGGCCGTTGGCCAGGGCCAAGGGGCCGCCTGGCTCCCCGGGCTCTGCATCCTTGTCAAAGCGGAGGCGCAGGGTGTTGCGGATGACGAACTGCTCCACGATGAGGGCCCCGCAGAACCAGGGCACGGCGTACTCCAGGGTGATGAGGCCCATGAAGTCAAAGTCGAACTGGGAGTAGTCCCAGGGGCAGGCGTTGAACTGACGCAGGATGTAGCCGGTGGTGAACTCCCACAGGTAGGTCCAGAGCGTGTAGATGAGGCAGCGCACCAGCAGCGGGCAGCGGCCCCGCAGGCGCAGGTACATGCGCTCCACGATGAGGATGGAGGTGCCGTAGATGAAGAGCGCCCACACGCTCGTGACCCCCGGGAACTTCCAGTTCAAGTTCACCACGAACTCCCAGGCTGCCGTGAACATCACCTCGCAGAAGTAGCCATGGATGGCGTACAGATACCAGCGGGACAGCGCCGTCAGGGGCTCGGCTGAAGCCATGGCACCGACTGGGGCCGGCTGCGGGGAGTGGGGAGTGGGACACAAAGGAGATAGGTGAGGGAGGGAGGGATTCGCCTCCTGTGGCTTCCCACCGCCCAGCCCGTCTCTAATGTGACCCGGCTGAGGGGATTTCTAACCTGCCTCTACCCTTCCCTTTGGTTACCAGTCATATTCTTGACCCTATTCCATGTTCATTACTTTATTCCATATTCCTTACCTTAGCCAGGTGGGCAGGAGAAATGAAAGGAAGAAAACAAACAGCTCCACTGGCTTCCTCTGAGCAACTCCACTCAAATGCTACTCGGAAGGAGGCGTCTACTACATTCCCTGTAATAACTCACTGGGACCATCTGTGGTCAGTGGAAGAGTTGGCTGTCCTGGCCCACCAATCACCCCAATTTCTAGGCTACGGGCTCATGTCTCCCCAGGCCCATCCTCTGGGAGCCGCATCTCTTCCCCTTCTTCTTAAACAGTTCCTCCTCACTCATCTTTCTCTCTCTTAGGAGATCTTCCTAAGTAACTTATCACATTTGTCTTTTATGTGTGTGGTGCTAACATACACATAATGTAAAAGTTACTACTTTAACCATTTGTAAGTACAGTCTTGCACTGCATAAGGACATTTCGGTCAACGATGGACTGCATATACAATGATGGTCCCATAAAATGAGTACCATACAGCCTAGGTGTGTAGCAGGCTAAGCCACCTAGGTTTGTGTAAGTACACTCTATGATGTTCACACAACAAAATCACCTAACAATGCATTTCTCAGAACATATCCCCGTCATTAAGTGAGGCATGACTGTATACGATTAAGTAATTCACGTTTTTGTGCAACCATTACCACTATCCATCTCCAGAACTTTTTCAGTATCCCAAACGGAAACTCCATACCCCGTCCCCAGCCCAACCACCATTCTACTTTCTGTCTCTGTGAATTTTACTACTCTGGGCACCTCATTAAGTAGAATCATACAGTATTTGTCCTTTTGTGACTGGCTCATTTCACTGAGCATAACGTCTTCAAGGTTCATCCGTGTTGTAGCATGTGCCAGAATCTCCTTCACTTTTTAAAAGCTGAATAACATTCCATTGTGATCTATCTATCTAGATATTATCACATTTTGTTTATCCATTCATCCATTAATGGGTTGCTTCCACCTTTTGGCTATTGTGAATAACGCTGCTGTGCACATGGGTGTACAAATATCTGTTCAAGTCCCTGCTTTTAATTCTTTTGTGTGTACACCCAGAAATGGAACTGCTGGATCATATGGTAATTCTATTTTTATTTTCTGAGGAAGGGCCTTGCTGTTTCGCACAACGGATGTACCATTTTACATTCCCACCAGCAATGCACAAGGGTTCCAGTTTCTCCACATCCTTGTCAGTACTTGTTATTTTCTGGTTTTCTGATGATGGGCATCCTAATGGGTGTGAAGTGCTAGCTCGTTGTGGTCACATTTGTCTTCAACTGCTCCATTAAGCGGGGTTTTGGTGTTTAGTTTCGAGGTGAGAGGAAACCAGTGGGCTGACAGGAGAGAGTCCTCCTTTCTACTTCTTATTCCCTTCCCCTCCTCTCTTTTAAACCCCACCCTTCTTCAAGGCCCCAGTCTGCTTCCCTCAAGACTGGCCTGGCCCACAGCCTCTCTGTTTTCTCCTCGCCCTCCACTAGCGACTATGTGGACCACTCATTTGGCCCTTTATCCAGTGCCACTCTATTTACTACTTTGATGCACATGCCCTCTTGATCCAACTAGCCTGTCTGCTCCTTGAGGGCAGAGACTCTTTTCCAGTCCTCTGTTCTGCAGCTTTGGCACAGGCCTCTCCTGAGCAGGCATTCTCTAAATGACACATGTCTTTTACGCAAAGGGTGGGGTGGGAGAGTTCAGGGTTGCATCAAGAACGGCAAGGCAGGGCATGAGAATATGAATCCCAGCTCTGCCAGCTGCCAGTGGACACCAGGTTTGACATCTCTGTCAATCCCCTCTCTGAGGTGGGAGAGGGGACAGAGGTTAACAAGGTGACATATGCAGTCTGCCCATCTGTCTGGGAATCCCAGTCTCATCTTTCAGCTAAAGGAGGCCTAGTCACAATAATACACACCCTTGTGCATTGCTTTGTGGTCTTCCAAGTGCTTTCATTCACGTTTTGTCATTGGTTCTTACAGAATTAAGATTCATGTGAAGGGCAGATAGTTTTACCCCTGTTTTTTTAAGAAAGGCAGTTGAGACTCAGAGAGAAGACATTTGCCCCATACCCCAGGGCCAGTGAATGGAAGAGCTGAGACTAGAATCCATATCTCTTGATTTCTGCTTCAAAACTCATCCCACTGCATACTACTGCCCATCTCCTAGACATGCGTACCTAATGTCACTCCCCTGCTCAAAAACATTCAATGGCTGCCCATTTCCTCATGAAACACTACAGCATCCTCAGCCTGGCATTCAAGATTCTCCATGATCTCACTCCGGTCTACTTTGGCAGCCTTATTCGTACAGTCCAGCTCTCCCTGTCTTACCTCCAGGCCTTTGCAGATCCTATCCATTGTATTTCGTGTGCTTTTCTCCTCTCACCTCCACAAGTACAAACCCAGCTTACAGGTTACCTTCAGAACAAGACCTTTTTCATCCTCCCAGCCACAAATCCTTCTTCCTCCTCTGAATATCCACAGCACTTACTGTCTCTCTTTGGTACGTGATCTTGTGTTTTATATGTTGACAACTTTCTCCACAGCCAGACCTTTTTCCTGTGTTCTACACCTGTGTATCTCACTGCTTCCTGAACACCTCCATCTAAATGTCCCACACGCACCGCATACTCCTTTCCTAAATCAAACTCATTATCTTTACTCCAAAACCTGTTTCCATTCTATGACCCCCGTCCTGATCAATGGTACCACCACACACCCAGTTAGCAGCCAGAGTCCCTGGCATCATTCTAGCTTCCTCTGCCACATTATCACTCTAACATGAGCTCCCTGAGAGTAAAGGACCTTGTCTGTCAGGTTCAGCACTGCATTCCCAGTGCCTAGAGTAGTACCTGGCACACAGTAGGCATTCAATTCAAGAACAAAGGCATTCTTTATCAGTTAGCAATTGCTACATAACAAACCATCCCAAAACTCAGTGGCTTAAATCAACTCTCATTTATTATTGCAGCTTATGTGTGTGGGGGTTGGCAGATCTTGGCTGGAATCAGTGATGAGACTGTGAGTCATCTGGGGTCTCTGTCCTGTGCTTGGCTGGGGTGGCTCTGCTCCACTTGCCTCTCTTCCTCCACCTGGGCCCAGTGGACTAGCCCAACATGTTCTTCTCAGGGCAGGGGCAGAGGCACAAGAAGGAGCGAGTCCAACTGTGCCAGCACTTTTTAAGGCTCTGGTTAAGTCATGCCTGCTAATATCTTATTGGCCAAAGCAAACCACCAAGTCAGCCGTTAACTCCTGCCCTTTCTACCCCTTAAATATCTTTCAAATCCATCTCTTCCTTCCTCTCTCTCATTCCTGATGCTCTGGCTCAAGCCCTCATCATCTCTCACCTGGATGACTCCAGCAGTCTCCCAGCTGGCTTCCCTGCCCTGCCGTGCTCCTGTCCAATTCACTCATCACACTCTGAAGGAGTGTGTGGAAACAGCAGTCTTCCTAAAATGAAAATCCGACGTTTCTCCCCACTTACAGCCCACGAGTGGATCTTTAACATCTAACATTGAGAGGAAGGCTCAGCCCCCAAGGGATGGCTGGCAAAGCCCTCCATGACCCACCTCTGCCTCGGATCCTGTCCTCTGGATCTTTACATCGCTGTTTTTGCTACCTGGGGTGCCCTTCCACCCCCAGCCTATGGCCCGTGAGGCCATCATCCTCCTTCAAGTTCCATCTCCTCTGTGAAGACTTTCCTAAACATCTCCAACTCCAGAGCCGTCCACTGCCGTGCTCACCTCTGCACCCAGTTCACCTCGGACGACAGCACTCAGCTTTGCCATGATTCATCTGAAGGCCGGCACTAACAGCCTTGATGACTGTTTGTTGAATACAATGTTAAGACAAAAAAGCAGGATTCAAAACTCAATATTTAACATGATTTTGATTTTGTAAAGGCATGTATACATGTAAATATACAAAACATTTAGCCACCATCATCCTTGCATGGTGACCTCATAAGTGATTTTTATTTCCTTCTTTATATTTTTCTGTATAGTCTAAAATCTCTTTCTAATAAGTAGGCATAACTTTTATAAAAATAAAATTTCATCTTAAAAACATTTGTTGAGTGAATGTTAGTCATCTTTGTGCCTTGTCTATAGAAGATGCTCGATAAATTTGTCAGACACATGAACCTAAGGAAACCTGAAATTGCATAAAATTAACCCAGGTTCTCCCCTCCTGAGCCACCCCCGACAACAGACCATGATCACAAGTGTGAAGGGGGTGTAGATCCTGACTGCCTGGGTTTGCGTCCCGGCTGATACCCCTCACCTGCGGGACCCAGGGCACCTTAACCTGAGCTCTCTGTGCTTCAGTTTCCTTATAGGTGGAGTGAGGATAATAAGAGAGACCAGCTCCCAGGGTTACTGTGAGGATGAATGAGCTGATAGACACACACTAAGACCACAGCAAATGCTCAAGAAAGGGTGGCAGTCATTTCTGGCATGGAGCTGGGCTTCCTGGTCAGTGGCTCCTGCTTTGAGCACCGCCTCCTAGCTGAGGCAGGGTCGTGCTGCCCCTGCCCTCACTAGTGGCCAGGCAGCCTTCCTTGCCAAGCAGGTCAGGACTTCACCTCCACCCAGAGCCCTAAGCCGGCAGCCAAGCAACCCCGTGAAAACAACAAGCGCACATACAGATGGCGGGAGAACAAACCTCAGCGGAGGAGAGTCAACGCGAGCTTCCAGCTGCGTGTGGCCCAGGAGGGTTTAAGGAAAGGGGAGTTGTCTCAGAAGCAGCCCTCTGAGGCCAGGCTTGAAAAGAAGGGTGCAATGTAACGAACGGCCAGCTTTCCTGGCACAGCTTCTCCTACCCTCATTTTATCCTGAACCCTCAACAGGCTGGGGTTCAGGGGCTGGGGAGAGAACAGACCCAGACTCCAGGGAAACTCACTGTGGAGCAAGGAGGGGTCAAGGAGGGTGAGACGGTGGCCTGGAGACCACTACTGCCTCTGCCCGACTCAGGCCCCTCTGAACTTAGGTCTGTCCACCTGACCTGCACTCATGCCCCTGGCACCTCCATCCCACAGGATCTGGGGGAGTGGGCTTCCCATTCAGACGTGTTCTTCTGCAGCAGCCTGACATAACTAGTGGATTCATCTCTCAGTTCAGACCCCAACCTTGATGCTGATTTTAAAATCCTGCTCTCCTTGCCTCTTGGTCTCATCTTGGGACAGTCAAGAATGGTTTCACAGTCCATAACAAATCAGAGACCCCAGTTACCACTTGCCCCCTGCCCCCCCTCCCCCCAGCCCGAGCAGATGACTTGGAAGAGCTGGCCAGACCCCTCCCAAACCCTATCAGCAGAACCAAGATTAAAGGAGTAGCTGTCAGAGTGAGAGAGTGGGCTAGCTGCTGAACAGAAGAGAGGATGGGGAGAGAATAGGGTGAGCCCAAGGCCTGGATTCCCTTTCTGGAATCTCCCCTACCTGGAAGAGCAGGGGTGGGTGGAGGGGAAGCATACCTAGGCAAGGTCAGGCCGTGTCCAAGGGGTTGTGCCTGGAGAACACGCCTGGTCCACACAAGATGAATGGGAGAAACTGGAAGTGCTGGCTGGGGCCAGGAGATGGGAATGAAGACAGGGAACAGGGATACAAGACAGTGTTGTCAGCTGGGAAGTCAGCTCACACTGTGGTGGGACAGATGCTAAGATTAAAGGCAGGCATTGGCTTGGGTGGATATCCAGAACTCCACTCCCCAAATCCATTTCTAATAATCACAGGAGCCATGCTTAAACTTTGAGCAAGGGCAGACTCACCCACCCTCTGCTGGGCCCAACAGACCCCTATCCCTGCCCTGGCCTCCCCCAACCTGAGCCCTTTGCCCCGGACCCTTCCAGTACCTCCTTGCTTGGCCCTGCGATCAGAGCCCTGGGAAAGCCTGCATCAGGAAGAACCAGCAGCTCACTGGACGTTGGCCTCTTTCTCCTGGTGACAAACACAACCATCCTGAGGACCGTGACACAAAGAGGGGACAGCCCAGGAAGGAAAATGCAGAGTGGAGTAAAGAGGAAGAGAAGGTGGGCACTACTGAAAACAAGAGAAAACAGTTTGGAGAGCTGTGGACAGTTTCACAAGGGGATTTTGGGGAACAACACTCAAGTACAAGAGCCCTCGGAAGTGTTGATGAAAGAGCCTGGAACACAGAGTTCCGGCAAAGGGCAGAACTCAAGGTGACTTGTCAGGGCGGGCAGTGCCCCTCCAAGGTTGCACCTCACCTGCTGCTCTCAGAGCCTGCTGAGCTGTTCCTTGGGGTGGCAGAGAGCAGAGTGAGCAGTGGAAAGGGGCAAAGAGAACCCATGAAAGTCCAAAAGGCTGGAGACAAAATCAGGGGATGATTGCCCTTGGTTTTGTCAAAAACTCCCATGTTGTTCCAGGAAGCTAAGGTGCCACAACACAATGATTCTAGGAATTTTTGTCCAGAGGAGCACATTGTTAGAAAATTGGGATTCTCCTTCCATGCAGCCAGGCCTCGCAGCCCTTCCTCTTTGCCCCATTGACTTCCCCTCTCCAGGCACCCAAATCACCATAGTTCTGAGATGCACAGCCCTTCCAGGGGGCCGCTGAGGGCAAGGCAGCGGGGGGGCAGCTTCAGTGACCCTAAGTCCAGTCCCCTGTGGGCTCTGTGCTGGAGGTGAGTGGAATGGATGAGGGGTGGACAGGCGCCCTTACAACTGGGTACAAGACGCAAGGACTGAAACCGTCAAACTTGGTCATCAAATTAGTGAGGGAGGAAAACATGGGCTTGTTTCAGGGCCAAAAGGGAAGCAGGTGTGGGGGGAAAGACCTGTGGTCATTGGCTGGCCCAGGTGCCATAGAGTTCCACTGTTTCTTCCTGTGGGAAGCCCAGGAAAGGCCCCGGGATGGTCCTCCCTCCACTTCCCACATCACAATGGCAATAATCAGGCACTCTTCTGAGCACTTTCCATGTATTAACTCAGATAATCCTCAAGCGCATTTACTGATGGGGAAATTGAGGCAGAGAAAGGCTAAATAATTAGCCTACGTTCTTACAGCTACAAAAGGCAGAGCTGGGATTCAAACCCAGCAAGTCTGGTTCCTGAGCCTTGCACACTGCACTGCCCTTGAGGCTGACTACAGGCTCCTCTGAGGTCACTATCATTTTCTGAGTGTCTGCTTTTGGAAGGCTGGGATGGTATATGGAGAGACAAAAGGAAGCAAGAAGGACGTGAGCTTCTATGTGGATCATCTGTGAAGCTCAGAACTGGGTGTCAGAGCTACTGAAGGCTCAGCCTATTCTGAGAGGCCAAGTTCTGGCAGGATCCATACAAACGTCCTCCGGGGTCACAGCTGACCTTCACAGGACTATGGCGGCAGCCACACCTCAGGGCTTCCAGGCATGTGCCATTCAAAGACCTCTCACCAGGACACACATTACCCAGAGCCTCCCTGACTGCCGGCTTGCCTCAGTGCTGCTCGGAATCTCAGATGGCCCAGCCCCACCACAGAAATGCCAGCCAAGGGCAGTGACCAGCGAGCAGACTGCCCAGAGAAGCCCTGTGCCTGGAGCAGCAGCAGCCAGAGTGTCAGGAGCAGCCGGTCCACACGGGGAGGCAGGTGGGGGCGGATTTTAGAGGGCCTCAGATGCTAAGCAAATCCCAGTGGACAGGTGCAGGAGGGCAAGTGGGCTTAGGGAATGGAGTCAGCCTGGCACAGAGGTTCACCAGGGCTCAGGCAGCAAAGGGCACCTGTGGGTGGGGCCCACAGGCTGGCATCCTGTGCTTTGCCTGCAAGGCTGTTTCCAGACCTCACGTGGCTGCCTCCTTGTGGTCATTCAGGTCTTGGCTCAACTGTTAGCCCTCAGAGACCTTCTCTGATCTCCAGTCCAAAATAGCCTGCCTGCTGCTCACATCATCCTATTTTCTTCATAGCACTTTTACTTTCTGACGTTTTGCTACTTGTTTGTTGTCGATCTCCCTCAATTAGAATGAAAGCTCCATGCGAGCAGGGGCTCTGTCTTGTTCACTGCTGGACAACCAGTGCCCAGAACCATGTCTGGCACTAAGACCCACTATTACCTGTGGAACGAATGAATGAATGGGCCCAAACAGGTGCAGGCCCTTCAACACTGATGAGGGCAGGTATAAACGGCTAGCTGCCTCAGCCTTTCATTTTTCCTCTTTCTTGGAAAACATAGCCTTTTAAAAATTTTAATTCTAGCATTTAAAAATATCTTTATTATCTTTTCTGATTACAAAAGTAACATGTGTACGCAGCTGAAATTTAAACATTACAGAAAGGAATGCCTTAGAAAGCAAAAGTCACCATTATCCCACACCTCAGAGAAAGTCACTACTAATGGTGTGCTGTGTATTCATCCAGATTGAATTTAGTTTTAAAAGAAGCAAATTCATGCATTATAGAAAGAAAGGCGTTCATGATTCCACCAAACGAGCAGCCCTTACCATTTCCCCCTTGCAATCTTTTCTTATGTGTTTATTTTACAAGTTACCATAATGTACTTATTCTATAACCTGACACTTTCACTTATTGTGTCATAATCCTTTTTCCAAGTTGTTGTATTGCCTATTTCTCATTATTATAATGGCTGTGTAATATTCCTCAAAGTGGAAAACTATAATTTACTTAACCTAGATGCTCACCAAAGGGAGAAAAATTGTTTCCCGTTTCCACTACTACAATGACACCACAAGAAACATATTTTTATGCCTGTAACAAAAGAATTTGGCCCTTTTGTTTTCTGGGACTATTTTCTAATGAACCGTTTCTTAATGAATAATTCCAGAAGTCGGATGACTGGAAGCAAGGGTACAACAGTTTTAAGGCTAATGACGTAGATTGCTCTGGAGAATTCTGTGTTATGTGGGGAATAGCTCTCCCGTCTGAGTCACTGCGTTCCCACAGTGGCTTCCATGGCCATCTCTCCACCCCCACCCCCCTCCCACGGTCCAGGCTCGATCACACTGCCCCAGCTACATATCAACCCAAGGACACACTTCCTGAAAGACCATCCAGTTGCAGACTGATTTTGCAAGTCCAAACTGAGTGAAAAGTAGATTCTAGCCCTGAGTTTTACACTCTCATCTGGCAGTAGAGTCAAGATGTCCCTAAAGCTGAGAAATACCTGGTTACCCTTTTTTCTCCCTGCCAACTCCCACCTGGAATGTAAGGCTCTGGGCTCCTGTGGACCAGCCCAGCAGCTCCTAAAAGTTTGTCTAGTCAAAAGCACCAGCTCTTCCTGTCTGGCCTTCCAGGGAGCTCTCTGCCTGCTGGTCCCCGATTCCACAGTGGGACTGTCTGCCCTGCACAAACAGAACAGCATTTAGGCCGGACAGGCCTCCGGGGCTTAGGAAAGCAACCAATTGTCATTTTTTAAAGCGTCATCAAGGAAAAGCCAGAGACTGAGGCTGGAAAGACAGGCCATGTGAGGACAGGCGACACTCCACAGAGGGGCCCCACATGCAGCCCCTCTGGACTGAGGAGGAGGTGCCACTGAAACATGGCAAAATCATCAGAGGACTTGTTCCTCTTGACCCCTGGTGTCACTTTTATGTCACCTAAGGTGCCAAACATTCCTCACCTCCCAGTGCCCTGGAAGCTCTACCCAAGGCCATGTGAACTGCTCGTGGCTTCTGGGCAGAGTCTGGAATCCCAGGGGAGGTATAGTTCCCATTGCACAGAAGTAAAGCCCGAGGCCCAAAGTATCCATGAGCCTCCAGATGAGAAAGAGAATCTGGGAAGATGCTGTCTCCTATGTGCTGAGTGTCTCACATCACTCATGTCGGACCATCTGGGTCTGGCCCAGTTTTTGGAGGCCGTGTAGATACAAGATGGCTCCAGCACATGATATGGCCTGGAACTGCTGGAGACTGCCCTCCTGTTCTACAACTGTAGCCTGTGACAGGCCCTCGGAGCGGAAGCAGGCTCAGAACTGGAACCTCCAGACCTGTGCCCTTGCTGCTGAGGCAGGAGGGGCCTGTGATCCCCGGAAGCCTGTAATATACTCACTTAACACACCCTTGAGCGTGTGGTTCAGAACAGACATCAGGATCACGGTCCAGGAGCGTCCCGGGTTAACCTTAGTCCTGGTGCCTGGCTGGCTCTCAGCGCCATTCTCAGCAGTGTGGGCAAGCATCAGCCCCAGGGCTCAGCTGATCCAAGGCTAGTGGGCGTGTGGCTTCCATGTGTCCCTGGGAATAAAAGAGGAGGCGTTCATTAGCTTAAAGTGCCCCCAGCTCTGAGCCACCAGGTCAACCAGAGAGGCAGACTTAAGGCAAATACCACAAGGGCCCAGGCTCCAGGCCCAGCACCAGACACTCATCCCACCCGAGGCCCCTCTCCTGGAACCTGCCACCTCCTCTCTGCCATCCTGTTTGCTTCGGTCTGGTTAATCCAGCGATGAGAGCCTGGGACGGATCCCAGGCAATTCACACGTGGGGTTAGGGCTTCCTGCACCACGAGTGAAAGGGTGCGCACTTGTAAATCTGAGAGGGAATATAATTTTAGAATCCAGCTCCATTCTCATCTAGCTTCAAATTACACTCCCACCTTCACCCTGTGGTGGGTACATCTGTTCTCAAGGGCGGTCAAGGGCCTCGTGGAAAGCAGATAGTGAAGGACATTCGTTTTAGCATTTTGGGAGTCAAGCACAACCACACACAGGCAAACAAGGAATCCAACAAAATGTACGCTAAACCCCCTCCACCCACAATCCCGCCACCCTAATATTTATTTCATTTTATTATTTTATCACTGTTATTGTTGAGACCCTTCCTATTAACATCAATAATTGACTACAAGCTGATATAAATCTGACTTTATAATGCCCTTTGCCATGAACATATTTTTAATCATATCCCCAAGACTTGACCATTTGATCTAGAGTCCGACATTTTTTGTTTTAATATGAAGGTGCTGGAGCTTCCCTGAAAACCCCTTGGATGCAGCACCATCTGCCTAAGCCCGAGGACAGAGTGCAGGTCCAGCAGGGCCCTACGGAAGGACAGACTGGCCGCTTGGAAACAGAGAACAGTATGTGACTGGGGGCGGGATGCCCCCACGGATGGCCAAGCAGGGTGGATCACAGGGGTGCCAGCCACCCCATGCTGACGCCCACTGCCACCTTCCTCCCTCCTCCCATGCCCAGGCTTTCTGAGCAGGGGTGACTCAGGCCTTTGCTCCCCAAGCAGACAACTTTTGAGAGAGCAGAGGAGCCGAGAAGTGAAAGGGCTGGGGCGGAGACCTGAAACTCACTGTGTGCACATGTGCTGTGGGTGGGGAGGGTGTACGCCCCCTGGGTGTCTCCCTGGGGCCTCTGCACCAAGAAAAGTGAAAGGCAGAGGGTATGAAGTGAGTGGGCTGCTGTGCTCTGCCTTGCCTCTATCCCTCCCCAGCTCCTCCAGAGACAGGAGCCTCCAACCCTGCCCCACCTGGCCATCTGCCTCCCTTCTCCCAGCCTTCCTGATGGTGAGCAGGGGTCACCCTGGCACGTACCTATCATCTCGAGGAAAGGGCTTCAACGAGACATATCCGACACCCACTTCATTCCCAGCACCACTCTGACCCTGCGCCTGGGGCTTCAGTCCCCCCGCAGCACTTCCGTGGACATAAGGGCACTTCCCCTTCCCTGAGCCCTAAGCAGGCAGCATTGACAGCACAAGTAAAAACCAAAAAGAAACAGAAACCAGAGCCCACATCCTGGCAGCACAGCCCGTCGGTCACTGTAGTCAGCCCTGGGAGCCCGTTGCTGGCTGAGGTGCTGCCCTAGTAGGTGAAGCTGAAACAGTCAGAACAGGCTCCCTCCTGGGGCCAGCCTTGCACTGGACACCTCCTGCTTCCTGGTCTGTAGGCTCTTCCCCCAGGGAGCTGGTGGAGGCTGGATGAGGAGGGGATGGTATAGCAGGGGTCCTGCCTCTGCCTTCAAGTGCACGAGCTCTTCTCAGCCTCCTCTGACACTCCCTGGCCCCCTAGAGCAGGTCTCAGGGAGCAGAGGGCGTGAGGCTTCTTTGTGGACTATGTGACCTGAACGAGAACTTTTAGGAGCATATGAAGGTGTGACGAGCCCTTATAACAACTACTATGGGGTGAAATATACTTTTTCTGGTATATCATCTCTCAAGATTCTCCCAAGACTCCTGCAGGGGAGGGCAGGAATTATCAGCCGCCCCCTCCCCACCCAACCTTTTAGAGATGAATCACCAAGTTTCAGGACATTAAAAGATTTGGTCAAATCCATACATTTGATTTGAACCCTGGCCCTTGGGCTCCAGAGTCACCAGCCGCACCATATAGCATGCCTTCAAACTGCTTCCCATCCAAACCTCATTCTCAAGGCACATGTCTGTAGGCACGCAACCTTCATTCAGCCTAATCTACTTAGTCCGTCCTGTAAGCAGCTTATTTGTAAACATAGAGCCGAGTCTGTCCATCCAGCCTCCTTATCAACATGCCGGGTGCTCCTGGGAGTTTAAAGGAGCAGAGACCACCACACAGTTTCAAGCCTGTCCTCCCTGCCTGCCCTCCTCTGCAGCCCAGCACACCCCCTCCTCTTTCGAGACCCTGCTCCCTCCTTATTCCTTTGTGACGCCATTGTCCCACAGCCTCCCAGTTATTCCATCATTGATGATCCCACAGGACTTTGAGGATCCTTCTATTGAAACATGTTGTCTCATCTTAAAATTACCATGTTTCTGCTTCCCCCTCCACAAGATGAATTCCTTGAGACCATAGAGTTTCTCTTGGAAGATGGACAAACAAGGTGGAGAAGGGTCCAGCTAAATTCTTGGGTGATTGTACCAGCCAGTGTTATTAACGAAACGTAAAGATGTCTGGGGGTCTTCCCTAATTTTTAGGGCACCCTCATGGAAGGGCTCTCTCCCACAAAGCATCACAAACATTGGTTTACAATGACCAGGGCTTTCTCTGCAGACCAGGAAAGAAAGGAGGGTGCTCGCTCTCCTTTCTCCCACCTCTAAGAGCCATCATCTAGACTGGTGGATGGGGTGGGTGCCTTGGGTCTGATAATACAGAAGACATATCACATGAGGAGGGCTGGGGCAGGAACAGAGTGTCCCAGGCATCCCAGGAGACACTACAGGCTCCTACGTGGGCAAGGGGCCAGGCTCGGGTTCAGGTCAGAGAATAACAATGCCTATTCTGTTATTTCTACAATGTGCTGGCACTCAAAAGGCACATCCAGTTTTCATGCACATAGAATTCATTTCTCAAAGAGGTTTAACCAGCAGCTGCTGGCAGGAAATTCCCTCTGCATCATTCTCTCTCCTCCCCTACAACTATTTAGGGTAAGCTGGGCTTGCACGATTGAATCTCTGCCTCTCTGACTGGAACATAAAAACCAAATCTCCCCTCAACTCCCGCCCCCCACCCCCAGCAGTCTCCATGGCCCGGAACCTAAGACTGGAGCCAGGAAGCGGCAGGCGAAACACTATCCCTTTTTCTCTCCCTCTGTCCTCCTCCTTAGCACTCCTCAAATCTCCCCCACCCCAGATGCCCACAAAGGAAAGAGAAGATGCCCCAAAGACCCACTGGGGAACCCTCTGGCTACTCAAAGCGCCCCCTCCCCCCCTGTTCTTCCCATGTGACCCAGAACAACTGCTTTTACTTGTCCTATAGTAAGACCAGCCCTGAACACAAGTGGATTTGGCAACTTCCCAAACCAAAGAGTGACCAACTCAGCTACAAATGAAATTGGAATTCCAAATCCCCCTAGGGGAAAGGCTGTGTCTGGTCAGCTCTCCCTGGGGAGCAAGGAGACCCAGCCCTGGGGCATAGGGGAAGTAGGCGGAGATAGGGGACAGACCCCCTACTCCACTTGGCCTTGTCCTTCCATTCTGCACCCCGTCACTCAGGGCTTGGAATCTGAGTTTCCCTGCCTGCCGGACATCTTGCCACCCT